GAAAGTGAGCAAATAGTAGCAACATGAGGACTGATCCTGTCAGGCTCCATGTCCACCCACAGTCAAACAAAGGCTGGAAAAATGAGGCGGAGTCCTGTTCGGGGCTTCATGAGTCATAAATTGCTGAGCTAAAAGTCATGTCCAGGAATAGTAGGAACACTACAAGATTTTCTTCAACCAATCAGAGGCAGTTTTGTTGCTACTGTTGCTAATTGCTGTGGTTAAGTCAGCTGTGTTGGGGTACAGTCTAAGTCCTGGTGTCATCCTCCCCCGGCCCTCTCTATCTCTCCTGTGCGCAGGCAGCAGTGAGCAGGGAGGGCAAATCCTACCCAGGTAACTGTGGTAGGGCACAGGGATGAGCTGGGCATTAAGTTGTTTTTCATCTGCCACCTCGTAAGGTCCGTCGTCATAGATACCGAGGTCAAGCAGAGTCTGGTTTAGGAGCTGAACACGCATCTCGCCTGGAAAGGAAATAGGTGAGGGCACAGCACGGTGACAAACACAGATTTGCACGTTATCTTAAACGACAGGGACACGGTCATAGATACACATGCTCACATGTTGCTTCCCAAATCCAGCATGTGACAGAATTTAGACATTTTAGAACAGGCGTTGTGTAAATTCAGCTTTTATTCCATAAAGCAGCCTTTTATTAAAATATGAATCATCCAGAAACTGATGTTTGCATCCAATATATCTTAGACCATTTATATTAAATGGATTAAGCCGTGCTGCATAATTTCAGTGTTCAATCAATAGATTGGCCTATAAATTAATTGGATTGTCCTGTTAGTAGTACTTATTTAATTAGACAGTTTCATTGCATTGCTTTTCTTCTCTAGCATGCATTAGCTGCAACAGGAGTTTCTTCTCATATTTCTTTTACATTCGTGGTAAATCGTCTTTGCACTGTAATAGAACAACACTCAAGAAGGCATAAGAGAAGGAATCAGTAGATACTAAAGATAAAAACCCCACTGCCAGTTCCTTCTGCTTAGCATTCATCTTTATGAATGAAACGGAGCATGTCAAGAAGGGATCCATCTGAAAGATGATTTCCAGCCCTTCGTCACCCCTTGCCTGCATTTTTGTGAGCAGTACATTC